ACAATACTACTTCTAGACAACTCCTGAAGATTTTACTCCCTTGAATGTCGCATTTTACTCTTAAAGGAAATCTAATTAACGGAAAAGCAGGCCCGAATATCGTTTACAGGGCCGTCTGACAAAATGTCCGATGACTGTGAGTTTGGGTAGGACATGTGTGTGATGATGTCCGATGACCTTCAGTTCAGTTTGGCTCGGAAATAAGTCAGAATGACACAAGTTAATATCAGCACAATGTATTAATTCTGAACAGTAAATGTTATGAAAATATTAAATAATTTGCGTCATTTCCAAATTAACTTGCTTGCCAAAAACAGCAGTAAGACTTTGTCAATTTAAGCAATAAGCTGTTTTCCACTTCACCATTTCGCTCGCCGCCCCGCCCTCGATCGCATTAAAACAACATTTCCAGTTCACCTTTTATACATTTATTTTATCCATTTAACATAGTCGAGCCTCTAGTCTGAACTAGGATACACTTTGATTTACGTTGGAAAAAGCTACCGTTCGGTCGGACACCAATACACTCTGCATGGTCGGACAAACAATCAGCCTCAGTTTCACTTAGGTCGGACAGAATGTCCGGTGGTTTCCTCTCTACGTTGGACAGTTTCACGAATGGGTCGGACAATGTCCGTGACCGACTGATATATTAAGGCCTGCGAAAAAGTATTACATGCAAATAAGCTCATGTCTTCTTTATAGACAAATCCGTGGATGATTATGTTTATAAGCTTGGTTCACAGATGGAAATAGATGAAGCAAAATTTTATTGGCTGCAGGTTGTGGATGCTGTTGTGCACCTGCATTCCAAGAATGTCATCCATATGGATCTAACACTTGCTAACATACTGTTCCGTGATGACGGCCGTGTTCAACTAGCAGATTTTGGGCGTGCTGAAAGATTATATAAGGGATGCTCAGGACGTGACTTCTCGGGTATTGCAACACCTTATACTGCCCCAGAGGTAATGCAAATGCACCGTTAAGAAATTATCCAAAACAGGCTCCAAGATCTGTCTGAATAAATATCTGCCCCAATAGATCTTTCCCCTTTTGAATGAAATTTTGATCTAGACAAGTCTGGACAAAAATTTCATCGCAGCTTGAAAGAGCATCACAAAATTAGTAATATTCCGAAGTTTCGTTGCGAAATGTTGAAAAATGCGGATAATATAGCCCTGCGAAGTTTGCCGTTTTTCAGTCATTTTGCATTACAAATGGAAATCGATAATCA